TAATTTCAGTTATATTATTAAAAAATATAGCTATACTTTTATTTTTTTATGAAATACTGTTCATTTCATTGGGCTGAAATTTATGAATAGTTTTGTTCTATGGCCAAAAAATATCAATTACTTGTGCAGATTTAATGATGCTCATACTACTGAGCCAAGGCTGTTATATGAATACAATTAATGCCAGTCTTGAATACAAGTGCTGCCAGACACAAACAAGTGCAAATCACCTTACAAATTCTTTGATGACTTGTCCTGACTTCTGTCATGGAGATGCCTAAGTCCTGTAGTATTCAGCTTCTCCTAATTCTCTGCCATCACATTTAAATTCTCCATGATTTATTGTTCATATTATTCATCGCTTCCTGGTTGTTGGTCGTATCTATCTCTTGATCCTATGGCAATTATTGCTTTTACAACAGGTGGCATAAGCTGTCTCTCTCCCACCCGCCATCCTCGCTTCTCAACAGTGCACACATTGTCCCATAAAAGCCAGCCTTCTGATACACGCCTTTTAGCTGTGGAGATCACAGTACCCTTGCATCGTGGTTACCATTTTGTTAGAACTCTGTTCTATCAAAACTATTTGTAAATCACTTTACTGGAGAGAAATAAGTAAATAAATAAGTAAACGCACGCAATCAAGTTGCTGACAGAACAAAAGCTCTGCCCCATATTGCCTTGCTGAAGACTAACCTGCTCCTAAAACAGCAATATGTGGTTCCATTGGTAGAATATCATTTCTATCTATAATACAGCAGTCATCTTGTATATTTCTTGGTAATCATTCATTTCAATGTAAGCATTAAGGAAAAATAAGCAGCACAGTGGTGGCATGCAGCCAGCTAGTTTCCAAATATGAAAGAGGCTGGAAACTGGGGAAAATGTTCTTGAGCTTCATAGTTAGCAAAGAGAAAATGAAAGAAGAATTTAGACAGAAAAGACGCCGAAACAGAAACAAAACTCTACTTTGAAAGCTCCACTCCTCCCCTTTCTTTCTTTCCATTCCAACCACTAGGTGGTGCTTTCAAAAAGAATCAAATAACAAAAAATTAAAATATACTAGTATTTTACACTGGTATACACAAAGTCAACATGCCAGTACAGAGGGAAAGTGCAGCAAATAAACTTAGAAGTGTATCCTGTATGCCTTAGGCTACCAATCACAAGTTCCTGCTTTGACAAGGCCACACTGTGGTTCTATAACAGAGAAAGGAAGTCTTAATATTCTTTGATATCAAAACAGTAATTGATATAAAAACAGAGGCTTGATGAACAAAAATGCATTAATAAAAATTCCTTATTTGCTCTCAATAAACAATATGGAGAGAAGAAAAACTGTTGCAGCCTCTGGGTAAGCAGATGTCCTCTTGAGAACATAGATGTATTACACTGAAAGTGACTCAAAGCCATCTCTTACCACCTGTCATATTCCCTCCAAGCATAACAGAAGATAACTGGGCTCAGTGGTCTGGGAAAAGACAAAAAGCTGGTGTTTGTCCTTGTGAATATATAAAAATAAAAAGAGCTTTACAATTCATTGTCATCATTTAGAACATAATCAAATAAACAGATTGAAAAGTGGCCTTCTGAAAAATGTTGCATTTTGCTTAAAGCAACCATCCAAAAATATCCCCAATCGACCTTCAAAATTGTGGCATAGAACTCATCTGGTTGGAAGATTCAAGCTATAGTGCTTTGGCTCATGCTTTAATCAGGTAATGAATAGAGCATGGCACAGAAAAATAATAATAATAATTGCAGTCTTTGCACTGTCTTATTGTTTGTTTAAGCCTGTCCAACTGAGACTTCTTGCATTATACGCCCCTGGTTGCATTCCATTTGAAACAAAGGCATATTTCAGGGAAGTACCTCTCACAAAGACGTACTGATGAACCAGAAATCAGAGTCCGGACAAATGACCATTTTACTTTAAACACAGCTCTATTGTTTCACTCTTTCTTCTGCTTGGGAATAAATGTTTCATTATTTAAAATAGAGGCTGAAAAGCAAATGGACTCCTCCCCTTTCTACAAGTAATCTCCCCCACTGCACCACAGAACTGCAATGGTTTCCATGACTCCCCTCTCCCAGTATTACTATTATTTTTTTTACTCTTGCCCTGAAATAAATTACTGTAGAGTTAAAAGAATAAGCAGCAACTTCATGCACCTGAATGACTTAGACCCACAAAACCCTTTATGTCTTGATATGTACACAGTGATTTCTGTGATCATTTGTTCATCACACAGTAGTTTCAGTGTGACCTTCTATACCACCTATACTTAACTCTTGGTCACATTTGCTGTTACCAGTGCCTTCATTTCCACTAACATAATCTTTGCTTTTTTTTGTTTGTTTTTATTTCACCTCTCTAACTGCCTCTACTGGAACAAGTTTCTTCGAAAATGCTTTTTTCACAGACATGAAATAAATCAAAGGGAGGAACCACTACTGTCTTCTCTCCAGCTTTTGCTGGGTTCAAGATCTGATCTGAGTCATCAACATATTAATTTGGTCTTGAAGTACTGTTTTTCTGGGAACCATTCTGTTTCTGTTCAATGTAAAACCCTCTGCGCTCAAATTTACAGAATAGGCCTGAGATTTTGGTAGATGTGGAGGAATATTTGTGTACCACAGCCCAAAATCCACACTCAAACAACGATGGAAAGTATACAGATCAATAGCTACTGAGATGTTCTGTATTTTGAATCTACAAATGAAAGTATACATCCAAAAAAAAATTCCTTCCACTGGTACAAAACGCAGCAGCAAGGAACATTATAGATAGATCATTATATCATTATAAACAACTGACTCTTTGGTTCATCCTCCTAGAAGCAGAGTCCAGTTTCAGGTCTGTGTTCATACTACACATGAGAACTGAGCTTGTTCCAATTTGAAGAGAGAAAGCTGGGGGGGAAACCTTAAGCTATATAAGATATATATATAAATATTATATATATATATATATATATATATCTTAAGCTATATAATGGAATGCCTTAAAGATGACTCTTTTTGGAGTACAGTGACAATATGAGAGGCAATGGAGACAAAGATCAACACAGGAAAATCTGATTTGATATCCGGGGAAAAAAAATAAATGTGAAGTTGTTGTGATGAAAGAAGTCTAACACTGGAAAAACTTTTCCGGATAGGCTGTGGAATCACCATCCTCAGAAGTGTCCAAAATGGAGGTGGAGAGGCTGTGAGCATCCAACACCAGTTTGAGCTGGTTCGAGTGGGGGCTGGACTAGATCAACTCCTGATGTTTCTTCCAAACTCAATTATTTATCAAGGATCATTGCTTTACTGGTCACAGCTACTCTAGATAACACAATCTCTAGAACTTTATTCTAAAACTTCTTCTGAGGCAACAAATTAAGCAGCAGACCTCTCATCTGCAGGAAGAAAATTATGATCTCCAAATATTCAGGCCTAGATGTAAAACACTTCTACAATGGATTTCAGTACACTTCTCCATTCATATGAATATAAAGCACGCAAAGCAAAATACATACATATCTCAGAAGAGAATCTCATAAGTTTCTCTCATTCCTAATACATTAATGGGATAACGGGAGAAACTAAACTGCAACAAGCCACCGTTACAAATATCATGTACTCTTTACACAAGCTTGGAATGAAACTAAGAAGAATCAAGTTCCCTTAGCAAAATATTCAATATATAATTCAAAGTTCCCAAGAGAGCTTTAACATAAATGCACCCAGTCACAGACAATAGCTTCAATTAAATCACTAAAGTTTCAGTCAAAGCCAGTGTCTTGCAGAAGAGCATTCATATGAGTAGGGCAACACATGAATGCATGTAACCTTATAAGACAGCATCAACAAGACTGCAGAGGAGTTAGAGGATTTCTGCTGAGAAATGCTGCAACTGCTCTTTCTCCATCACAAGTTAGGGTCCATAAGTTAGGGTCCATATCATTGTCAGCAGTCATCTATCCATTCTTCTCTTCCTGCCCAATTTTAGTTTGCTTGGTAGTTCATAAACATAGATGAGATTGCATAATAATAGACTATTTCTAAGCAGAGATAGCAGTGCTGAGTAGAATATAATTTATTCTTGTTTTGCTCAAAAAGGAACAAAGTAGAGGACAGATTTCCAGGTTCTAGATTTTAAGTCCTTCAGATGTATAAGCTAAGTTTTCACTGCATTCAAATCAAGGAAAAGAAAATGTACGCCTGTGTCTTTAGAGAAAAGGGACAAAAAAAAAAAAAAAAAAAAAAAAAAGAAACCACTGATGTAGTAGGTTTATCAAGAAGAAAACTGAAGTAATGCAGCCATCAAGATTTTTGATAACGCGATTGCAGCAATGCACAACTATGAAGAGATAGGAAAGCAAATGTAGTTTCACAAAATCTTAAGTAGTAATCAGTGCAGAAATGTAGACTCATGCTTGTCAGAAGTGATTAATGATTTTCTCCATAGGTCATAGATGCAAATAAGATATAAGCTAAGTACTTCCATGACAATTTATTTGTGGAAGACAAGGAAGAAAAAATAAGCTGCAAAGTTTTATAGAAGACAAACTTTCCCCTGCAGGAGAACAGGAGGATATCTAGGAAACAAAAGCACACAAAATATTGATTCAAAAAATGTCTCCAAAGAATTAGACCCCCTCACCTCCCTGGACAGCCTGTTCCAGGGTTCTTTTACTCTTGCTGTGAATAAGCTTTTTTCTCATATTTACATGGAATCTCCTATGTTCCAGCTTGCACTCATTGCCCCTTGTCCTATCATTGGGTGCCAGTGAGAAGACAACATAATTTAAATTGCATAGCATGTTCCAAAATAGCTAGTTATAAAAACAAGATATAATCTTACTTACACATAATTGGCACCTCTAAAACAGATTTTGATTGTGGAATTTTACACTGTGGTTGCATTTTTGACGTGAAAACAGAAGAAAACACACTGTGATGCTTGTAGCCCATAGACATGCCAAGGGAAGGGAGACTGATCACTGGTATAATATGAAAAAAGGCTTCCACAGCACTCAGAATAGAGTCTGACAGAACAATTTTTTTTACCAGGGCTGCATAAAGTTAAGAGATGGCAAGTAGCTCATAGCAAGTACTACAACATGCAAAGATGAAATAGTGACAAGGAAATTGTCTAAAGATGTGTACTGCTTGAGAAACTGAAGAACAAAAAGGACTCACCTTCTGAAAAGTCTGCTTCTCCAGGTGTAATACAAAACTGACTTCTGCTGAGCTTAAAATGGTGGATGGTGGTGACTTCAATAAAACATTCTGGAATTTTATAATAGCATTCACAGGATGAAACACAAATACACTAGTGAAGTATTTGGAATATGTGGCATGAGGATACAGCAGTGGCTACTCAAACATTGGGTAATTTCTTTTTGGTTTGTCATTAGTACACAGAGTGATTTTGGCATGTCTCCCAGTAGACTCAGTGAAGGAATTATAACAAGATTAACAGGCATTGCTAGTGAAGGCACGGAGCTGTCACAAGGAATTTAACGCTAGAAGTTACTAACTTAAAGCACTACAGAGCTGCTAAGATACACTTACAGCATTTGAAATACTACAATATATTCTTCACACTTTGTGGACTTGTATCAGTGACTATATTTTATTACCTTAGCAGTTTTGATTCATCATATTGTTCAACTGTTTTATTTTGTATATCAGTTGCTGGAAATCATTGCCCTCTACCTCTCCTGGCTTCGTGTACAAACAAGACATTGTATTTATATTAAATACCACCTGGTGCTGGAGCTTGAACTCAGGATCTTTGCCCCGTACCCTTACAAATGTCCTGACAAGAAGGTTGAAGAGCTCTATCCTGTTTATTTTCTCCCTCAACTCTCTAGTCAACAATTCAGGATTGAAACGGACCTCCTGAGTTACGACTACTATCCTACTACTGCAGGAACTCAGTACTACAAATTATTCCAAAGACTTACGAAACTCATCTTAAAAACAATATTTTTATGCCAGTTGGAAACGGTTAAAAAAAAAATTAGGGTCTTTACTAATTTATCTAGTAAAATCTATAAGCATTCAGCTAGAGCACTGTCCTAGGAGATGGAAGATGTGCTCACAGAAGTTCATTCATAGAAGTAGGACCTGAATTCTTCTCTAGAGGCTGTAAAATTGTTTAGCAAATTTTTCAGACAACTGCCGAGTGTCACCTTTAAAGACAAAGACATAAGAGCACTGAGCCCAATGCAGTTTTATTCATCTTGTTACTCAAAACTGAACAAAAACAAACAAAAAACAAACGAACAAAAAAAAAAACCTACTCACCTTCATGACCCAAAGAGGAAATGTGGAACCCCATTTGAAGGAGATGAATAAGTGTTTTGTCAGGCCTTTGCCACTCTATAATTAAGGCTATGAAAGTCCATTTATAAAACAAAACTGAACACACACATGAACACACTGTATCACACACCCCTGACGATTATCCCCTTATCAAATGACCAACTATATCTCAACTCAATTTACAACTTCCCTGAGTCGTTACTGAGACACGTTAGCTCTATTCATTACTCTTGTCTTTCAGGTGCGGAAATAAAAGCAAACAAGATGCAAACAAGTTTTTGGCTCTAGTGTTTTCTTTAGGAGGTGTGGTAAGACAACGCTCTTATTAGTGAGAAGTGTTGCAAGAACCAAAAAAAATACTGCTGGATTAATATACCGGTTTGCTCTGATACCCCCCACCCCACCCTCACCAAAAGAAAGACATTTTAGTAAAGCATATCAGAACTATTGATTATTTTATTTATGGTCATAGGCTACTAATCTTTTCTGTTTATAAAAGAAAATGACAGAAGCCACAGCCTATCATCATGTAAGACTACGTTATAACTCTATCAGCAAGCCTAACTCAAGCCTAATCAGTACTGAAGTCACATATCAAGGAAGTATAAACATAAAGCATATTCAGGTATCATTGATTTTACTCTGTTGGCATTCCGATTTGGAACTCAGTATTACAATATGCAGCTAGCATTAACCAAATGAAACTGGGTTCTGAAAAAGCAGGTTAGGAATAAAATTAGTACCAGCACCATACTTTGCTGAGTATTTAGATAGCTTTTTCCCTATTTTTAAATCATACTAGCCACCCCTTCATTTTTAACAAACTAATCAGATTAAGCCAGTCTCATCACATAGCGAGACTACAAATGTGGAGTTTCATAATATCTTCTGATACTTTAAAATGGCAAAAGGTTATACTAACAGCATCTGTTATTTGTTCTCCTGCTAAAGCTTAAAAATAAAAATATAGCTCCTACCTTCTTTTAAGGAGAGTAAGAATGGCTTCAGACGCCATTACTTGCACACGCAGTTTGGCAACCTGAAAAATAACGTCACATTTGTAAATACTAACACACTTTAACAACAACTGAAAACACACACTTCTAATCCATACAGATCGCTTGTAAGTTTACCTGAAGTAGCTTGGTAAGTGACACAACAATCATTTGGCATTTCAAACTTCAACTGATGGATACTAATAGCTTTTTAGTTTTTGGCTCTAATTTCAATTCCCAAAGAATTAAAGAAAGAAACACAAACTTCTAAGAAGTTTAGAAGTTTATGGAAAAAAAAAAACCACAATAAATAAAAATGTGTATTATTTTTAATATTATTAATATTATTATTTTTTAATACATACTTAATTTCAATTTTAGAAAAGTCACTAGGGCAACAAAAAATGGACACAAAATTTGAACACCAATCTTGCTATTATGCATTTTTTTACTATTCAAGAGGAATCTGAGTACAATGACCAAGGAACAGTATTAAAACACAAGAACGATATAAGAATTATGTATGTTTTGAGCTGACTTCAGCAAGTGATGGCTGAACATAAAACAAATGAACAAAACCCTACTCACAATCAAGAAATATTTGCACCACACCCAGCCTCTCTACCTACAATTACATTTCAGAATTAAATCCATGCTAACTTAACACTTCAAAGTGCTTAGAGATAAGCATGCAACTTAATTTTCTAAAGCTTAAGTTCTGTAAAAACACATCTCCATTTACTAGTATAAGAAAACAAAAGTCATTAGATTTTGCAAGTACAATTTCATACACATAACTTCATCAATACAAAGCTAACAAAATAATTTGATTCATGAGTGCATATGCTTTCAAAATAACACTTCTCAGTATGGGTGAGCCAAGTCCCTCTAGTTCACTGCTCAGTTTCTGACAGTAAGAAAATAGAAGCCATTTCCTGTAATAAATTTCCTTATCTCACCCCTAGAATAAATGCTTATTGTACCTCAACAATTGTAGTACAACCTGTGATTGTTGTTCATAGATGCGTAGCTAGAAATATCCTTACCCCTCCTTTCCAAATGATATTGAAGCCACCTACCTCTACAATTTCCTTTGTTAAAAAGTAAGTTCAGCTGCTTGTTCAGAACCTCCTTTCATACCTTTAATCTATTTCGATACTTGTTACAGCAAGCATCACTGGTTTTTGGATTATAGGATCTATTGAATAACAGCTGTGTATCTATCTACTTCCTTCAAAGTTTCATAAATCTTGACCATATGGTACTCAGCTTTTTCCTTTCTAAACAAGGGTTTCAGCTTCCTTAATCTCTACTCACAAGGAAACTGCTCTATCTCCTTAAACACTTAAAGTGCTCTTTCCTGTAACTTCATTAGCCAAGTTTTGTCCTTTGTAACAAAGAACATCAAAATGATATTAACAGTTTTAAAAGAATTTTCTATGAAATTGTTCTGGTGTTACTGCCAAAAAGTAAATACTCAGAACAAAATCTCCTCAGAAATTTACAGCACTGTCAGACAACAAACAGCCAATAGCCACTGCTTACCTAACTTGGTTTACAAATGATTTTTTCTTCTGCTAGTAAAGGTATTGTTTAAGGAATGAAAATGTATGTTTTGTAAACATACCGGCTGTACAGAGAGAAACTGCATCTGCATCACTGGAATTTCCACCAAATGAAAAAATGCTGGATTTGTAGCAGTTAACTAGAAATAATTATTTCAACCACTATTCAGAAATATACACAATTGCAGTAGTCACCTACAGCAGTAGAATAAACACCACTTTTGTGATTGTATCAATTATTTAGGACAATAAGGCCAACTGTTGCCTACAGTACAGGCACTCTTCCACACACTTCTGTTGTATTTATGTGCATCTCTGAAGAATGTCACAAGATGTGGCAAGTACATGTGGAAGAGATGGTTGTCTGGGAACACTGCAGTTAAATTAGACAATATGCATTTAAGATAATTAGATCCATCTGGCAAACTAGTAAAGGCAATAAAACTAAAAACCTTATTTAAATATATTGGCTGCTTATGACCTCATACCAATTAACAAGCAAAATTAGCTAAAGCTATCTTAGATGAGTTACATGGAAGGCTACACTTCTATTTTGCTTGCAGAAATCCTAAAAATATGTGCATATATAAGCAAAACAATCAAGGTACTAGGAAGAAACACCTAAAGAATTGCTTGGGAATCACCACAGTCTGGGAACCTAGGAAATTGCTTTTACCAACAGACCTGTGCAATTCGGGATACAAGCAGCAGGGACATAACCCTTGATTTAAGGCATATCTATCATCTAGTCTAATCAGCTAGATGTGAAGATAAACAAATCTGGAATTAATGATTTTCATATTCTTATAAGAAAAATTCTAGTAGAAAGAAAACAGTCTTGCAAACAGAGATCAGTGTTCTCCAGCAGCTGCACTCTTATTTTCATCCAACAAAACCAAATTCTAAACCCCTCGGAGAAACACTTCATGTCAAGATTCATTCCTTGCTTCTCATTTATTAAAAAGAACTTGAATTATGTAAATGTCCAATTTGTAAGCAAATTAAATAAACTCCTTTCTTGAGAAGAGTATAAATGTGTCCCTTTGGGTAACAATGGAAGGTTATTCAAAAACAAGAAGTGTTTATTACCAATGTAAAACTTAATGAAAATTTTAAAAGCTCCATAGTCATAGCTTTTTGTGAATGTTCACTGTTTTAATACATATGTATTTAATTTTCCTAATAAGGAATTCCCAGATTCCAAAATGTTTCTAATAGAATTTCTACATTATGTTCTAAAATTTACAGAATAACAAAAAATCCTACAAACATTCCAACAAAAATATTGGGCTGTACCTTATACTTATTGTTTCCACAGCTGGGTTGCTATAAATATGCAGTACATGACAAATACACACACAAAACTGCATTAGACTCTTTTTATTCCCCAAACAATCTGAAACTCACATCTCTTTAATGACAAAGCAAGTATATGGACATCACTAAAACGTTCATCCCAAAAAGGTCAGGGAATAAGACTGGAGCTGTCATGTACAAGACATCAATATTCCAGACTGAAATACTACTTCATCTGCTAAGATCCCATAATTTGAGTTTCCAGGAGTGCCCAATATTTCTAAAAGAGATTAAATTGTGACAGATGAAACTTGTTTTCACATGTTAATAATTATATTACAACTTATTAATTCTGGATTCAATTACTTTGTAAAATGATTGTGATGTGGAAAAGAAGAAGGTTTCACCTCAAACTGAACTGTATTTCTGTACTTAAAATTTTAATCAAAGGCAAGACAGTCTATGTTTAGTAGTTCTTAGTCTTCTATACCAGGAAAACCAATTACAGTTATTATTTGAGGTTGCTTTTCCTGGACAAGTCAAAGAAAAAACTTCATAATAGGATTAGCTGCATGCAATAAATTGAAGATTCTGCTAACAGAACATTCAAACTTGAAGTTAGTCTTCTAAGCCAGAAGTCAGCTGCTCTGAGAGTAAATATCATTGTAACATTACATACTGAGTATTTCAGTACTTCCCTTAAACAAAAAAGATTGACTTTGAAATACAAAACTGTTCAACACAACTTATGCACACAACTGGAGTCTAAGCAAAAGCAAATTTGCAGTAGTACGTAACTATAACAGGCAAAGACCAAACAATGTCATATTCTTTGATTTGAAATGCTTAGTAATGAGAGCTGGAATTCATGGGCACTATGGAATTTACAGAACATTTCCATCTGAGAAACATGACTACATCATAACAAAATAGGTTTGCAATGCTATGAAGAAACCATTAACAGTGAACACGTTAATTTTCAACAGAATGTTTTAAGTGCCCTATGCTGGTGTCTGGTCTGTTGAAGACAGGGAACAGGAAATCAGAACATCGTAAAATTAAGGAACTCTGCCTTGCTGAAACAAAAATTTTCAATATAACAGTGGTTCTGCATGCTTGATTAAGGGACCTCTAGCTTCAGATCCTGATTTGTAGAAGCTTGCCCATACTTATCCTGAAAGCCAAGTGCCACCATTATCTTGTAGCTAACATCCACTGAAACTTAATACCTCATTTAATCTTACATATCATAAGGGACATGAAATTTGAGAAAGTTTGATTATTTGTTTTATACTTGGAAACTTCAAGAGGTCTTAAGACTGTGATGAACATCATACGAAGGTGTAAGTCCCAAACAGACTGGACTAATAAACTAACCCTGCATTTTCTTTTGCAAGCCATCTTTACAAGAAAGGAGACCAGTTTAAAGCTTTTTTTTTTTTTTTTTTTTTTTTTTTTTTGTTTTTTGTTTTTTATCATGGCATTCTTTTACCTTACCTAAAAAAGGATTATAAATATATAACTTTCTTGCTTTTACTGATGAGACTTACAACTTCGCTTTTATCAAAGGACTAACTTGAACTCCTGTCAAACCAGAAGGAGTTTTTGAACCACCTTTTCCCTTAAAGGTCTTTATGAGAACCTCAATATGAAGAAAAGGCTTAGATGTGATAAGTCTATAAAACATTTTTGGACTTAGAACTTGATCAGGACAAAAGTTTTGGCTTTGAAAGGTACATGACAGATGCGGAAGCCCCATTCTCTTAAATAATACTGTTCTTCCTTTCAGCTGCAAAAATACCCTTTTGAAAAGAGTTTAAAAAACAAAACAAAACACAATACCACATCAATAATTACTGTAGAATTACCATTAGTATTTAAGCTTCGCCAGGTAATCACTTGGACACCTCCTGGTAGTTTTTTCCCCAGGATGACAGAAAACAAGAGATCAGACAGCACTACGTCACTTCAGTCAGCTTTCCCCCAACAGGGATCACGAGCAGTCGGAAGCTGAACGCGCTTTCCTGGAGGAGAAAGAAATAAGGTGTATCACTCGAGTAACTGGGATCAATTAGGCAACTGAGCTTAGCTCTAACGAACCGGGAAGTCAGGCTTGAGGAGCTCTGGAGTACTTGTGCGTTTTGATTTTAAACAAAGCCTGCTGGCAACGAAAAGGCAAACAGG